AGAGATGGAGTCTTGCTCTGTCAACCCACCTGGAGTGCAGTGGCATGATTCAGTTCACTGAAACCTCTGCCTCCCAGATTCAAGCAATTCTCTTGACTCAACCTCCCGAGTAACTGGAACTACAGGCACGCACCACCACACTTGGCTAACGGTATTTTAGTAGAGCCTGGGTTTTGCCATGTTGGCCAGGCTGTTCTCAAACTCCTGAGCTCAGGCAAGCTGCCCACCTTGGCCTCCCAAACAGGCGTTAGCCACCACACCTGGCCCTAATTTGCATTTAAGCATGGACAGTCTCATTGTTTTCACGATCTCAGGAAACACTGTTCAGTTCTTTACTTTTACATACAATGATTCTTAAAAGTAGAAATTCCATGTATTCTTCCATTTACCTCAGCAGTGAAGAAACAGATGACATCATGTGAAGTAAAAATATAAGCAGTAACATGTAGAGCTAACACTTGAACTCAGGTCTTCTGATTTTACACAATATTCTTTCAGTATTTGCCCATTCCCAAACTTAATTCCACAGAATTGTAATTGAAGAAGATAATATTCTACATTAGTGACTAACTGAAATTGTAAAGGCCTTTCCCTTTAGTAGTTTGAGTATGAAACTTCAAATAGACAGAAGCTCAGTCTAGAAGACACATCAAGAAGAGATGTTTTTAAGGCCACGAAGAAAAAAAAAGTTATGGAAGAAAATGAAAGAAATTTACAGAAGTCATGACACTGCAAGTAATCTCAATTGAGAGAATTATATGTAGTTCCAGGAAAAGCCATAAATCGACTCATTTCTGTTGGTGCAATAGAATCGGACCCAAAGATTGTCTGGTTATATAACCTGAAATTGTATATCACACTGTGTCCCAATTCTAGAAGCCATGTAAATGATTCATGTAAAAACAGTTAATGTAAACTGGGCCATGCAAATTTACCTTATTTTTCTTTGTTTCCTCAAAAATTAACTTCCATCAAGTCAGATATGCAAAATATTCCTTGATATATAGAATTAGAAAACAACCACAGAAATTGCAAATTTGAATTATGGTCCTGAAAATCTACACATTTAGCTTTGGAAAGTATCTCTATATTTTTGAAGTGCTTTTCATAAGGCACATATAAAAATCTACAAAGAAAACATATGAAATCTATATTCTGAATGCCTATAGCAGGAATAGTTTTACCTGAATCTTGTTTCTTTTTCTGAGGATACTTCACTGCTGGCCACTTACACTACTGTCAGTCTCAATTAAATTACATTCCTCTTTTAAAATTTCCTCCATTTGTGGTTAAATATCTTTTACCAAAAAATATGAATATTGAGACCAGTTCTCATTCATGTTTTAAGGGGTCTATAAAAAAGATGTGTAGAATTATAAAACTACCCTAAACTAATATGATTTGGAAAGCATAATTTGCATTACATAGTCTATAATTTAGATACCTGATGTTAATAAACATAAGTACCCTCTTATTAAAACATTGCCTTATAAAGGAACAGATTTTTTGATTTAGGACTTTGCCCTTCATGTTGCTCTACAGACATGCTTATGTAGTTAATATTTGTCAAGATATACAAAAATATTAAGTAGCTTCAGCAGGTCTAATAAGTACGAACTCTATGTGGTAATAGTAGTAGTAGCTATTTTCTTGTTATAGCCTACTATTTATTAAGCATTTCATTTCTATTAACTCATGTCAGCCTAATAATCTTTTGAAGTAGGTTTAATACCATGTCTATCTTACAAAGGAGAAAACAGAGGCAAAGTAAGATTTCTTTCTTTAGTTTTAACCATTATATTATGAACTCTTAATAGTTTTAAAATTTACACATATATATGAAATACCAAACAGATCAAAATATTTAATACTACTTATTCTATGAATTTGCTAAGTATGAATCTATAACCTCATTTGTCTACATAGCAACATGAAATGTGACAGTATTTATCCTAGAATTCTAAACAACTGCCAGTATAATTATTGATCAAAACAAACAGTAAAGATATAATCATATTTTTGTGAAACCCTAAAAATGTCAAGTTCTGATCTTGAGTTAGTATTTTATTGTTTCAAGGGTACTGAAGAGTACACATAAAAATTCAGACATAAAATGGGATTCTAACACTCACAAATATCCTCAATGGCATAGTCTATCCCTCTCTGAGCCTGGACAATTATACATGTACTGTTTTAATGTTGACACTTTTTAGGTACTTTGAAGAAAGGATAAAATACTTTGCAGTTCCAAGGCCAGAATACTGGTCAGCATTAAATTCGACCTTGTAAAAAGAAGATTATACCAGATCAAGTTTATTATCCTCTGTGAAAAAGGGACAGTCTTTAAGAAAAAAATGGATAGATTTTCATTTACTTGCACCTAAGTGAGACTTTTATTTTTATCCAATGACCCAGTTGGGTATTAAGTCCATAAGTTTATAGATCATTTTCCAAGGAATCCCTGTAGAAGTTGTGTAGAGGTGCCCCTAGAGGCTGCTTAGGGAACTGGGGGTATAGAGACAGAGATTATTCTGGCTCTTCCTGCCTGGTTTCAAGAACAGCAGCTCTGATTTTATTTGCTTTATCTTTTTGGCCATAAAGTGTACTTAAAGAAGTAATATATCTACCTTAAAATTCAGAAAACACTCTTTCAAACCATTTACTTAGAGACACGTTCTCTAAGAACACAACAAATCAAAATACAGAATGTATACATAGGCACCAACAAGATAAAAAAAAATAAATAAAAGGAAAAGGATGTCAACCTCTATCCAGTAAACACAGTGTTTAAATGGAAAAAATATATAGTCTAACAGCAGTTGGCTGTATCAGTAGAAATAAAAACAAGTCTACTTTATTTGACATTGGACAGGCACTAATTAGTATGTATTTTTGATAGTCTCATTTGAGAAGTTTGTTGAAAATTAAATAAGGACTAGTGAAGAACACAAAATACTAAATTATTCCTATGAGAAAAAGTTAACAGAAATGGAAGTATTTATCTTGAAAAAGAGATGACTAGGAGGGAAAATTAATGCTCTCAAAGGCTATTAATAATTACAATAAATGGTTCTCCTGCCCTACAGAGGACCACTGTATATGAAGAATATGTAAAAATAATGGCAAGATAATTTGATTTGCTATAAGTAAGCTAACCTGATAAGGAAGAAATTTAAAAATACCAGAACGTCTAACTGGCAGAAGCTATAAGATTTTTTTTCAGTCCTAGATAGCTTTAGTAAGAAAAAAATGAATTCTCTAACCTGGTTCCCCTGTGCTATTTCACTGGTTTATATTTTCAAATATCCACTCAGGGATAGTGAAAATTGGGAGGTTTCACTCTGCCAAGACTATATCCTGAAGTTCATGTGTCGTCTTTACACTTTTAATATTTCTTTTCTGAATTCACCTACCTCCTAGCTTTGGGTTATTACTAGTCCACTAATTCACAGAGACAAGGCATAAAAATTTTGCAGTAAGAAAACTGGGAAAGGTTCTTGCTGCTCAGACATAGTCACTGGTACAAGGCCAAATTTTCTAATCACTCAAAAATACTTGTAGGCCGCTCACAAGTATTTAACCCGAGGTTTCTCTTTGATATGGATAATTGGTTTGCTTTCAGGTTTTCCCAAGTCTCAAAGTACTAGATTCTCTGTCTTGAAACCTTTAGACTTTCTCTTACAAGCTCTTCCACAGCATCCTTCTGCCCCGCCAGGCTCCCTGATGTTTGTTGGCCCTTTTCTTTGCAAGGTCCACAAATAACTTACAGACTGCTCAGTATAGCCTGTAATATGCATGCCTATCAGGTATTAATACTATTGATTCCCACTCATATATTCTCAGCATTTCCATTTCCATTTCCATCTTACAGTCTTACTAAGAGTTAAGTCCAGAGACTTAAAAATTGAATTCTACTCATACTTAAAAATTAGATTCACCAGTCCCACTTAATCTTCCAACAGCAAGCACATGCTACCCTGCCTGAAAAATACTTTCTTTGGCTGCAAAAGCTTGACTGGCCCTGAGCATGAGGCTCAGGTGACACCTCTGAGGATAGCTTTTCACCCAGGATGAATAGGTGGCACAATCTCCAGTTTGTTCATGTCAGGTAAAATAATTCTGAACTGCTGAGGTGCATTCTGCAGAGCACCCAGAGTTTACCAGCAGGATCAAGCCCCAGCTGCCTGCAGTGACTCATAATTACACCTTCTTGGTTTTATTCTCCTCTTTGCTTCACTTTGTCTGTCTCATTTTCTCTTAAGTAGACTATTGATAACACGAATCCTTACTTCAGAGTCTGTCTTCAGGTGACTCCACTTAAGATAAGGTATCTTCATATCTTTACATATGCATTTTCCAAAGAATATACATTCTTTGTAATATTTAAAAGAACACTTTACATTAATAATTGACGGAAAACAACTGTGGTTTCTGTATATACAGTGCACTGCAACCAAAGGGGCTCTCACACCTGGGAAGGTGGAACAGACAACTCCCAAACTGGGACCACTGAAGTGTTTGTTGTTCCTGGCAATTCCAAGTGAGACTTCTTGCAGAACACTCTGATTTTATGATCTGGGATAAGAGAGTTCGCCCATAAAATACCTTGTTTTAACACATTTTCCTATCAATTCCACCACAGTGATAAGAAAGATACTTTTCTTTTTGTTCAAGAAAAAAAAAGCAAATTGTGTATTTTTCTTTGGCTTCTGATCATGCTAAGAGATACCTTCAACAAATCCTGCACCCAACAAATTTTCTTTTCTGTACACGCAGCACTAAAATGTACTCATTTGCGTAAGTTATAACCAAATACATAAGTAAAAGTGTTGTTTGTGACAGTAGATCTGACTTTGGGGATAAATATAAACTTGTAAACTTTTAATAGATTTCAGCACTGACATTACAGCATAGAAATAAAGTATTTCTTGCAATCATTCCAGGCATTCTAGATGGTGAAGAATATTGCCATAATTCAATAGAAAGAAAAGCAGACTTACCCGAATCATCATGACTGAACATCTGATATCATGAATAGTATCATAGATTTTCTTTGAGATGTCCACAAATTGATTATCATCCAACACATTCAACGAGTTCTTGCTTAAGGCTTCCAAGGCAACATTCACTTGTGTTACAAATTCAGGAATTACTGTTAAAATAAAGAATAAGGAGAAGATTGTCCTCTTTGTATTTTTGGATTTCTACAGTAGTTTCCAGAAAATGTAGAATTTTGTTTTTAACAAATATTTGATTAATAGATCTTTATGTTTTTAAAATATAGAGATACACAAATTTTAGAAGATCATTGTGGACCACTGAAAAGTAAAAGGACTCAAAGACAATGAAAAGCGTTTTGTTTTTGCTTTCTGAACTCCAGGCTTCTGGAGCGAAAGGCATTTTTACAGAAATGTTTTAAAAGATTATCTTCTCCTTTACATCAATTTTGTTTTTACAAAACCTTGGGACCATACAATCACTTCTCATCCTATCTAACATAAACCACAAGAAATTATGGAAAGGAACTGGTGTGTAAAACATTTGGAATTGTAAATACAATAATATTTAAAGAAAGAAAGCAATTGAGTTGCTAAATGGAAGAAAATCTATTAAAAGTACTAATTCTATCCTTACAGAAATAAAAATATTGTAGACTTTTTTTGGTAAGATTTTTTTTCCATAATAAAAAATTAGTGATAAGGAATTGGCATTCTCATATGCAAACCATCTCTAAAATAACAAATGATAAACACTGAATAAACACTGAATGACAACAGGGATGCTTCTATTGGTAAGCCAATCCATGGATTATATTTTTAAAATAGGCTTCAAAATGTTTCAAATAAAAAGATTTCTTCAGTTTTACTTTTAAGGTTAATGATATTAACCGTTATTAACTCTTCACTAGACTCAAAGTGATTTAAATCTTAAAATAGCCCCAGTATTAATGAGTATTACTAGTTTAACAACTGGAACACAGAGAAATCAAGACTCTAACACAGATTCATTCTGCAAATGTGTAACAAAAGAGATATAAATTCAGACTCCCAAAATGCAGAATCTACACTCAAATAAATCTACTACGTCATATTGAGGAAGCCTCTGCCCAATATGAAGATGTCGGATAAAAAGACTGATTTTTAGCAGAAACAATTCTAAAGCTGGAAGACAGAAATATTTTAACTGGTATAAAAATACCAATCAACATTATTTTTCTACATTTAAGCCTTTATCTGTATGTATGGCATACCATCTGTTGCAATCCTACCTGTCGTGTTATCGACATGAGGAAATGTTGGTGATACAGACGGGAACTCATTTTATCTGGTCTCTTCTTTCCTCCAGCTGCTAAAATGTATCACCTATATCCTACTTCTGAGCTACCATACCTGTGGAAATTATCCACTGTGCTCTTCTCTGTCCATTCTCTAGACATACTGTCCAATAAAAGGTGGCTACTAGCTGCATGTGGCTAGTAAAAAATTAAATTCATTAGCCTTAAATTTTAATTCAATTCCTTAGCCATATTCATCTCATTTCAAGTGTTTAACACATACATGTGACTAGTGATTAGCATTTTGAACGTAACAACCTAACCTGGGTTAGCCTAACTGACTCCGTCTTAGCTGCAAACCTGGCAAAGCTCTCTCGGGCCTCTCCCTCCCTGCCGCAGCCCCTCAGGTGCATTACTGGGTCACACTGCCCTCAAAGCTTTGAACCATTAAGAGTGGTTCACAGGGTTCCCAGCACCTGTAACCACTGTAACCGCATCCTGCTTGGCAAGTCTATCTGCTATTATGAATACCTTCCTTGGTGACTGATTGTATGGAAAGTTCCCCCTGCTACCCTCTCTTAATGATTGTATGGAAATACCCTTAGCAACCAACAACTCTGAGAACCTCCTGCCCCCTGGTTACCAGCCTCCCCCTACTAACTTGCTTGTTCTGCTTCTGTAAAATTCCGCTTCAGCTAGGCTGCCCGCTCCCCTACCTAAATCAAGGTATAAAGGAGAATCAAGTCCCTTCCTTGGAGCCGAGAGATTTTGAGCGTTAGCTAACTCTCAGTCTCCAGCTAAATAAAGGACTCATAATTTGATCTTGAAGGGTAGCGTTTCCTTCTAACTCACTCGGTTATTACATGAAGAGTGGAGATATGGCTATTGTGACAGTAACTTTTGGGATAACAGAAACTACAGTGAGAATCCCTAATCACTTTCTCCCTTTCACTGGATGGGATAATAAAGCAAGGAGGAGACCAAACTGATACCCTTTGAATAGGAAAAGCAATCTCAAACCATAATTCTCATTTATACGCATATGACGCTTAAAGCAGATCTCAAATCTAGACGTTTTCCTTAATTTCAGAACTGTATATCCAGTTGACAATGGCAAAATTCTACCAGAATCTTTCATAACACCTCAAACATATTCTATGTAAATATAAACACATTTTTAACCCAGGAAACCAACCTAATTTTCCGTTACTATATTCTGTGTTGATGCTCAGTCACCCATTAAAAAAACCCAGTTGTTTTCTTTGACTCCTATACTTCTTTATTCCTTACATCCAAATACCCACTGAATGCCGTCTACTCTACAATGTAAATATATCCCAAATCCATTGACAATTTTTAGGCCCACTGTCTCTAGTCATCACCATCTACTATTTCAGTCCACAGCATAGTTCTTCCCATGCCTAAATTCTGCTTATCCTCAGATTCATTTTAAGTCTACTCTTATGAATGGAACCTGCTCTTACCATTAAGTATAACAGTATCCCCCAAATGATGGACACTCAATAAGTTGTTTTATGGACACATCATATATTTATAAGTTTTCAATTGTTCCTTGTAAGTTTTGAAGTTTATATCCTAAGTGGCTAGACTGGCATGTAGTAAATAAATGATTGAATGAAATGAGTGATTAGATTAATTAATTAATATATAAAAGTCAAACAAAAAGTAGGTACAATGAAACATGTCCAGCTTGCATTTAAATGTGGTTTAGGTTTTGTTAACAATTGAAAAGCTCCAAAAATATATTTATGCAGGCTTATAGGAACATTCAAATCTGTTTAATGAGTTAATCATACTTTTTGTAGTGTTAAAGAGGAGGAAACTTCTAAGAAAATGTATCCAGCTATTTCACATTTCCTTCGGGTTCTAGAGTAGACAGCAAACCATCCATCAAAACTACTACTTTAAAGAACAGGACAAAATGGCTTCCAGCCTCTGCGATATTCTCTATTCACTCTAAAGACATGATTAAGTACAAAGAGATATGTTCTCAAAACTGTAAGGACCTGCAGGCTACAAAACTTTATTCATAGTCATTCCCACTAAAACATGTTTCTTCTTATATATCAAACAAGTGTTCAATACACTAATAATTTAATTCTCTCTATTAGTACTTTCAATCTGTTATATTGATACTGTTTCCACCATCTTCCTATGTAGATTTTGGCAAAAAAAAAAAAAAAAAAAAAGAAAAACTAAAGTCATGTAAAGGTCTGTTTTTTTCACTGCTCTGTGAAATAATGTGAGAAAGATTTAGGACGTCTTAAGAAAAATACAACACAGCCTTTTCATTAGTGCAAAATGATTTCATTTTAACTCCTCTAAGGGCCTTTTACTAATAAATTAATATTAGCTCCAATTAAAATAAAATCTTTGAGAAGCAAATGTTTAATTTCTGAAATACAGATGGAAACTACTACTTTCTCACTCTAACAGCATAAATGAACTATTCAAAGCTGGGATGTAATTCATTCCCCATTTCATTAGCTTAAACATCAGCTGTGGGTGTACTTTACTTACACTATGGACATATGGTTGCTTGGATCAAAGTAGGAGTACATTTTTTTAATGTTTAAAAGAAAATACAAAATGAATATAATTAAGTAGCCAGTTTATGGTAATTTAGAAAGAATAACAAATTGACAAAGCTGTCTTTACTCCATAATCTACCTTGGTTTTCAGAAAATGACGTTTAGACATTAATATACAATCATGCTATACAATCATTGATCAAAGAGAAGGATACCTTAAACAAATTTATTCTAATCAATTGAAATGCCAGGTAGGATAAGTGGTTCTGAACTTTGGAGTGTGGATTTATCAAACAAAGGTGGCCTTTTGGTCAATACCCTGTCAATTTCACAGTATCTTGTCTATATTACACAGCCAAATTCTGAACCAGTTCTGAACTCTTCAGCAGTCTATACTTTCTCTGTCTACTTTATTCAGAATATACAGAATAATAGCTACCATTCTTACTCATCTTGGCACTGTGCTAAGCATTTAAATGTATGTCTCATATAATCCTCACAGAAGCCCTGTAAGGCAGGAACTATTACTATCCTGATTTACTGATGAGGAAACTAAGGTCACACAGTGAATAAACGATGGGCCAGTAATTGAGAATACAGAGCCTGCTCTCTGAACCCTAAATCTGCACTGCTTTCTTTTGATAAGTAAAGACCTTGGGGATTCTGAAGTGCTGTGCTCCTGGGGGAATTCATGATAATTTTCTGACAATGCAGTTAACAGACCTACAGAGCCAAATTCTCCTAGGCCTTAAGCCTCTCTCTGGTAGTAACCTAGGAATATTTAATCCCTTCTTAATCCTTGCTAAATTTATTATCTACATTTGAAAGTAGGTAAGGATATATTATTATTGAATTAAATAGGTCAGAAAAAAATTCAGACTCATTAATGATCTAAAAATGATATCAGCAAATTGTTTCCTACCATTAATAAAACCCAGATTAAAATATTTCTAATTAGACTATTATCCTTAAAAATTACTGGTGGTAAAGAAATTTGCCTTTGAAAGTTCACATAATGCTAAGTCATCATTTCTTTAGGTTATGTTAAATAACTAGGAGACAATTGATAATAGTAGAACATAGCATTAAGTATATAAATGACTTCTACAAATATCACTTTATACTCTTCATTTTTTTCATTTATTCAGTAAATGCTAATTATTAGGGTTCATGTGTATTTAATATTTAGGGAGCCAACATTATGTCTCAGGAATATGTTTTCTACCTCATAGTTCATATATCATACAAAGCAATGACTAGTGAGGATTTTACCATTTTTTCAAATGATTTGCCCCAAAGTACTGACCTGCTCTGATCCTTTAGCAC